GCATCTGAAGCTACTAACTGTGAAAGATTATTAAAATAAAGTTACATGCTATACCTGTTTGAAATCAGGGAGTGTTTTTGTGGACACCCTGTATATTAGTCACAACAGTTTATCTAACATTGTTATACTGTACTGTATATGTAATAACTGCTTTTGATTGTTGCCTCTCTCTCTACTTCATTCCCTACTCTCTCCATATTGGGGAGAGGAAGCTGTAATAACAGTTTTCACTGCCAAGGCCAAGACCAAGACCATACCTACGTTGTCACCGATCACATTACTGACCACACCCAAAAGTGCTTAACATGATAATATATCATATTTACAATGACATAATGGTATTCAGTATAAAGCACAAAATCTGTACACTACCATAAAAACTGAAGTAAGAAATACAGGACAAAGTGTAAAAATAAACCCAGTGAAGAGGTGCTACAAGCACCTATATAGTATTTATTTATTTATTTATTTATTTAGAAATTTAGCATACAAACAGAGGTACAAAAAATACAGGTAAGAGCAGCATGCCAAAGCCACTTATATGCATAGCATTACGGGCTGGCTTAAAATTAACTTAAGATTAACTAAGCAATGAAGAAGTCAGTGATAAGACATTATTGTAAACAGATAACTATAAAATACAAATGAGTATTACAAAGACAGGTCCTATGGTTGCATGCATTGCTGTTCATTCAGTAGAATGGAGTATTCTGTTAGGTAGTGTATTTAAAAAAATACAAAGTTAGGTTTAACATTTGTGTGATATAATTGTGAGTAACATTTAGGATATACAATTTATATGGTTCAGTTATTCAGTATTTATTTGGTTTTGAGTGAGTAAGTGAACTTTGAGAAGAGACTTGAATTATAAACAGGTAGTGTTTCTTTTATATTTAAAGTAATGAATTCCAGATTTTAGGCCTTTTATGTTTACCTGGAGTTTACCTGGAGAGAGTTCCGGGGTCAACGCCCCCGCGGCCCGGTCTGAGACCAGGCCTCCTGGTGGATCAGCGCCTGATCAACCAGGCTGTTGCTGCTGGCTGCACGCAAACCAACATACGAGCCACAGCCCGGCTGATCCGGAACTGACTTTAGGTGCTTGTCCAGTGCCAGCTTGAAGACTGCCAGGGGTCTGTTGGTAATCCCCTTATGTGTGCTGGGAGGCAGTTGAACAGTCTCGAGGCCCCTGACACTTATTGTATGGTCTCTTAACGTGCTAGTGACACCCCTGCTTTTCATTGGGGGGTATGGTGCATCGTCTGCCAAGTCTTTTGCTTTGTAGTGGGTGATTTTCGTGTGCAAGTTCGGTACTAGTCCCTCTAGGATTTTCCAGGTGTATATAATCATGTATCTCTCCCTCCTGCGTTCCAGGGAATACAGGTTTAGGAACCTCAAGCGCTCCCAATAATTGAGGTGTTTTATCTCCGTTATGCGCGCCGTGAAAGTTCTCTGTACATTTTCTAGGTCGGCAATTTCACCTGCCTTGAAAGGTGCTGTTTAGTGTGCAGCAATATTCCAGCCTAGATAGAACAAGTGACCTGAAGAGTGTCATCATGGGCTTGGCCTCCCTAGTTTTGAAGGTTCTCATTATCCATCCTGTCATTTTTCTAGCAGATGCGATTGATACAATGTTATGGTCCTTGAAGGTGAGATCTCCGACATGATCACTCCCAGGTCTTTGACGTTGGTGTTTCGCTCTATTTTTGTGGCAGAATTTGTTTTGTACTCTGATGAAGATTTAATTTCCTCATGTTTACCATATCTGAGTAATTGAAATTTCTCATCGTTGAACTTCATATTGTTTTCTGCAGCCCACTGAAAGATTGGTTGATGTCTGCCTGGAGCTTTGCAGTGTCTGCAATGGAAGACACTGTCATGCAGATTCGGGTGTCATCTGCAAAGGAAGACACGGTGCTGTGGCTGACATCCTTGTCTATGTCGGATATAAGGATGAGGAACAAGATGGGAGCGAGTACTGTGCCTTGTGGACAGAGCTTTTCACCGTAGCTGCCTCGGACTTTACTCTGTTGACGACTACTCTCTGTGTTCTGTTAGTGAGGAAATTATAGATCCATCGACCGACTTTTCCTGTTATTCCTTTAGCACGCATTTTGTGCGCTATTACGCCATGGTCACACTTGTCGAAGGCTTTTGCAAAGTCTGTATATATTACATCTGCATTCTTTTTGTCTTCTAGTGCATTTAGGACCTTGTCGTAGTGGTCCAATAGTTGAGACAGACAGGAGCGACCTGTTCTAAACCCATGTTGCCCCGGGTTGTGTAACTGATGGGTTTCTAGATGCGTGGTGATCTTTCTTCTTAGGACCCTTTCAAAGATTTTTATGATATGGGATGTTAGTGCTATTGGTCTGTAGTTCTTTGCTGTTGCTTTACTGCCCCCTTTGTGGAGTGGGGCTATGTCTGTTGTTTTTAGTAACTGAGGGACGACCCCCGTGTCCATGCTCCCTCTCCATAGGATGGAAAAGGCTCGTGATAGGGGCTTCTTGCAGTTCTTGATGAACACAGAGTTCCATGAGTCTGGCCCTGGGGCAGAGTGCATGGGCATGTCATTTATCGCCTGTTCGAAGTCATTTGGCGTCAGGATAACATCGGATAGGCTTGTGTTAATCAAATTTTGTGGCTCTCTCATAAAAAATTCATTTTGATCTTCGACTCTCAGTCTGGTTAGCGGCTTGCTAAAAACTGAGTCATATTGGGACTTGAGTAGCTCACTCATTTCCTTGTTGTCATCTGTGTAGGACCCATCTTGTTTAAGTAGGGGCCCAAACTGGACGTTGTTCTCGATTTTGATTTGGCATAGGAGAAGAAATACTTTGGGTTTCTTTCGATTTCATTTATGGCTTTTAGTTCTTCCCGCGATTCCTGACTCCTAAAGGATTCTTTTAGCTTAAGTTCGATGCTTGCTATTTCTCTGGACCAGTGTCTCCCTACGCATTTCAGATATATTGACCTCTTTTAGCCGCTCTGTTATTCTTTTCCGTCGCCTGTAAAGGGAGCGCCTGTCTCTTTTGTTTTACATCTACTCCTCCTTTTTCTTAGAGGAATAAGCCTTGTGCATACATCGAGTGCTACCGAGGTTAATCTGTTCTAGGCATAAGTTGGGGTCTGTGTTGCTTAGTATATCTTCCCAGCTTATATCGGTTAGGACTTGGTTTACTTGGTCCACTTTATGTTTTTGTATTGAAGTTGAATTTGGTGAATGCTCCCTCGTGACTAATCTCATTATGTCGGTCTGGGGCTCCGCGCATACATGACTGAACCTCAATTATGTTGTGATCTGAGTATATTGTTTTTGATATGGTGATATTTCTTATCAGATCATCATTGTTAGTGAAGATGAGGTCTAGTGTATTCTCCAGTCTAGTAGGCTCTATTATTTGCTGGTTTAAATTGAATTTTGTGCAGAGATTTAAAAGCTCGCGTGAGTGTGAGTTTTCATCAGAGCTGCCTCCTGGTGTTATTACTGCAACAATATTATTTGCTATATTCCTCCATTTTAGGTGCCTTAAGTTGAAATCCCCCAGGAGCAAGATGTTGGGTGCAGGAGTTTTTGCATTGAGTTTTTGCATAGCGTGAGATGGACACGAGGAACATCAAAGAGTGATCTGTGCCTTGTATTATGGTCATGTGTTCTGTTGAGGTTGGCAAGGAGATGTTTGAGGGGAGGGTTAATATCAGAGTTAAGTGTTCTATGTATGTAATAAGTGCAATAATAAGTATGGATGTTTTGTATGGTGAGTAGGTTGAGTGTTTTGAATATTGGTGGAGTGTGCTGCCTGTAGTGAGAATTTGTTATCATTCTAACTGCAGCCTTTTGTTGGGTAATTAGTGGTCTGAGATGGTTAGTTGTTGTTTGGAGCCCCATGCACAAATTCCATAGGTGAAAATAGGGTAAAATAAGAGAGTGATAAAGGGCCAGGAGGGCTGACTGTGGAACATAGTACCGTATCTTCGATAGTATGCCTACAGTCTTGGAAATTTTCTTAGAAATTTGTTGTATATGTGTATGAAATTTGAGTCTATTATCGAGGTGGATTCCTAAGAATTTTTCCCTCTGTTAGCTTTGTGATAGGTGATCCGTTTATCGTTATGTTAAGAGGTACATCTGTAGCTCTGCTACCAAACTGAATGAAGTAGGTTTTGTCAATGTTTAGTGTAAGTTTGTTAGTCCTCTTCCAGGTAGATATTTTCTGTAGTTCGGTGTTTACAGTATTGGCTAGTGTGACTGGGCTCAGGTGAGAGAAGCGTATGTGGTGTCATCTGCAAAAAAGTGTGGGCTTGAGTATTGCGAAGCATTTGGTAGGTCATTTATGTATAGGAGAAAGAGAAGAGGGCCAAGGACACTTCCCTGTGGGACACCAACTGTAATTGGTTGTGCGGAAGAGCTTGCCCCATTTGCGTACACATATTGGCTTCTGTTGCTGAGGTAAGACTTGAGGTAGTTGAGGGAGTGCCCTCTAATTTCCATAGTGTGACAATTTTACGTGGAGCAAGTCATGGTCAACTGTATCAAAAGCTTTACGTGAGTCAATGAAGATCCCCAGTGGGACTTCTTTTTTCTCTATTGCAGTGTATATATGTTCTAGCATGTGTATAATAGCATCATTAGTATTTTTATTAGGCCTGAATCCAAATTGGCAGGGGTTGAGAATGTTATGGGAGATGAGGTAGGAGTAGATTCGTTTATGAATTAATTTTTCGAAGATTTTTGAGAGAGGGTGTAAATTGGATATTGGCCTATAGTTATTCAACTCTGTTTGGTCTCCTCCTTTATGGATCGGGGTGACCCTTGCTATTTTGAGAACTGTAGGGAAGGTGGAGGATTCAATGGATTTGTTAAAGAGTGTTGCAATGTAAGTATAGTAAGGATCCCAAAATATTTTAGTGAACCAATTTATTGATAGCTATAGCCATGCACTAAAATACTTCTCTACATTTGTAGATTTACTGCACAACATGATTTAATAACGATCACTTACCCAGTTTATGGACTGCAGGAAACTGGCAACAGTGCCATGTTTAAATAGTTTGAAGGGAATGTCCTCTCCTACCACCTTTCTGTACTCAGTAATGAGCTTATCCATGGGTGCTTCTCCACCAAGGGCAGTTAGGATTGACTTCAAACAATCTGTCACTTGATTGTGAAGCTTCTTTTCATTAGGTGTGAGACCTAGCAAATCAAGAGGGTCTGCCATTTTTCAGTATTTGACAGCAATTGTATTAATCACAGCCTTTAAATACTGTAGTGTGTAATGTTTGTACACATCAGACCTATATGTAATCTATAAGTTTGGAGTACAATGAGCCCCTTGTATTTATACTAGAGTGAGCTCTCAGAATGCTGCAGGTTTTAAAGTCATTTATAAACATTTTAATATTCAAAAGTTTTTTTTTTTTTTTTTTGCTTGTTATATAAAATTCGTAAATTATCACTAATACTAGTCTTGACAAACTGACTTGCAAATGAGCACTGTGTTAACTACAATCTGAGGACTGTAGTTACAAGGGCAAGGTGAACTCTCACCACTTCTTGAGTCCTGCAGAGAAAAAATAGAATTGTGTTACACGAATCTGAGAAGAGGCATTAAAACTACCTATTTACTACAAGATAGAGGGGAAAGGGTAGAATATGCAAGAAGAATAAAAAGGCACAATACCATGACTGGAACAATACACAAATAACCTGCACATAGAATGAAATTTATGACAATGTTTTGGTAAGACTAGTTAATGGTCCAAGTCAAACCAAAATTTCATAAATTTCATTCTCCTATGTGCGGGTTTTGTGAATATGCATGGCTAAATTTTGGTTAGAATCATAAAAATTTATAAAAATTACTTTTTCTCTTAACTATTAAAATGTAAAGAAAAAAAAAGACATTCAAATACTGTACACTAACCAATAATTCATAATTATCCACAAATTGCTTTATAATAAAGATTTTTTACTTGGCAACTAGCAGGGTTCCTGTATGGCTGAAGCCCTAATTAGTCTAAGCATTAATGTACCTTAAAAACATACCATTAAAAAAATATTTTTTAAATTATTCAAAACTATGATGCAATAGGCTTTTTACAGAGTTAAAATACAGTATTACAAATAAAATAGTAAAATAAATACTGTCAATAAATAAATATGTATGTACATATGTATAGACAGATGGGTCTATGAAAACCAAGGTGAATCATAGAACTGATGAGGTGAGTGGTGCACTTTATAGAGTCTATGGAGACGGAGAACATTATCCATGGAAGCAAAGACAGGAAATGAATAAGAGTACGTACTTATATGGGTGTGAATCATGCAATGTGAGGTGTGAATATAATGCAGAGAATCTGCAGTCTGGAATTTAGGAGGAGGTGCAGGGTTACTAAAAGTATGATCTAGAGGGCTGACAAGAGGTTGTTGAGGTGGTTTGGATATTCAGAGAGGATGGAATGAAATAGAATGACTTGGAGAGCGTATATATCAGCAGAGGAAAGAAGGCAAGGTAGGGATTGGCCTAGGAAAATTTGGAGGCTTTTGTGCGAGGGGCTTGGACTTCAAGCAAGCGTGCTCGAGCATGTTAGATAGGAGCGAGTGGAGATGAATGGTTTTCATGACTTGACGTGCTGTTGGAGTGTGAAACGGGCAAGCTTTGGACTTGAGTCCTGGTGGTGGGAAGTACAATGCCTGCACTCTAAAGGAGGTGTGTTGATATGTGGCAGTTTTTTAACTATAGTGAAGGCATGCCTCTGGCAAGACAATGATGGTCTGCCTTGGTAGGAAACAGTCAATGTGTTAACAAAAAAAAGAAAATGTATAGGCAAATGATGTGTATCTAGTCTAGCTGGCTTTGGTCAACTAAGACAGCATCCTCTCTCCTCAAATGCATTGCACTATTGATATACAGTACTTTGAGTCTGCTACTTACTCTCTACCTCAACACTACCCCATTACTGAATACAGTTTTCCCCTTTTTTTTTTTTATTTAATTACTCAGAAGTTTACCATACAGGCCTGGTCTCCATACTATTAGATAAAAAAAATTTCTCCAGGAAATTTCCAAATGATTTTTATTACAAAATGTAATATAAATTTGTACAATGGTTCATAAGGCATATACTTTTCAAACTGATGAAAGGGCAGAAAATTCTCAGAGACTGGATACACCAAGCCTGACAAACTTGAAACATTTTGTAGGAGATACCAAGCCAATAATACTTTTTAAAAGTATTTTTACCCTCTAAACTGAAATAATGCAATATAGTACATTCAACTGCACTCAAAGGCTGCTTAATTTTAGAATAAAAATATTTGGAGCCTTAATTGCTCACACCTATTCAAAAACCAAATTAAAAGAATGTCTAAAATCCCTCAAATTATATTCCCTGGATTGCATTCAAGTAAAAGCTGACATTTGAAAAATACAAGACTGTCATGGACCGGGCCACTGAGCTGCTGACCCCGAAAAACCCTCAAGTATACTCCACATAAATGGTGAAAAAACTCAAATTGGAAAATATGGCTACAATAAATATGCTGAGAGATGCAGTAAGTCAGTAGATAAACTGTTCTCACACTGTTGTGTTCTCTACTGATTTAAGCAATGCCAGTGTTAAGCTTGCTCTGCAGACTATCACCCATTCTAGTGCCAGACAACACTCCCCCACTTTTCAAAAGCTTCAACTTACTTAACATACTACTAAATATGCACTCATACTATTTGCCTACTATATATATAGGTAGTAGGTTGGTAGACAGCAACCACCCAGGGAAGTACTACTGTCCTGCCAGATGACTGTGAAACAGAAACCTGTAACTGTTTTGCATGATGGTAGGATTGCTGGTGTCTTTTTCTGTCTCATAAACACTCTAGATAATAGGGATGTCTTGCTACTCCAACTTACACTTTGGTCACACTTCACAGACATGCACATGCATATATATATACATACATCTAGGTTTTTCTCCTTTTTCTACATAGCTCTTGTTCTTCTTTATTTCTTCTATTGTCCATGGGGAAGTGGAAAAGAATCTTTCCTCCGTAGGCCATGTGTGTCGTATGAGGCGACTAAAATGCCGGGAGCAATGGGCTAGTAATCCCTTCTCCTGTAGACATTTACTAAAAAAGAGAAGAAGAAAAACTTTATACTTGACGTGCTGTTGGAGTGTGAGCAAAGTAACATTTATGAAGGGGTTCAGGGAAACCGGCAGGCCGGACTTGAGTCCTGGAGATGGGAAGTACAGTGCCTGCACTCTGAAGGAGGGGTGTTAATGTTGCAGTTTAAAAACTGTAGTGTAAAGCACCCTTCTGGCAAGACAGTGATGGAGTGAATGATGGTGAAAGTTTTTCTTTTTCGGGCCACCCTGCCTTGGTGGGAATCGGCCAGTGTGATAATAAAAAAAAAATAATAATAATATATAGAACACTAAATTCCAATATAAACCTTCTGCTGAAACTTTTCCTTGATATCAGCAACAGAACACAGGCATAACACAAGACAAAACTATCTTTGACATCACCCGTAACTAACTCGACTTATCCAAAATATTCAGTGTGCATGAAAAGCCTTAAGATCTGGAATTCAACGTTGAGACATCAAAAGCCCCCTATCTGAGGTCTACTGTTAAAGACACCTCACCTCCCTAACATAATAGAAACAGAAATATGCTATGTCAAACAAAGCAAGCTCATTCAATTCTGTCCTTGTTCTTCCAGCCTTCCTTAAACTCCCATAGAAAATTGGTAACATCTTGTCCCATTGTATTTCTATTGTAGCTAAGTAACTTCTTGTAACTTCACCTTCTCTATTAAATCACTCTACAAAACTGAAGATCATGAATCAGTCTGATCTGCTATTGAAGTGAGCAAGGTAAAATTTATAAAGGGATTCAGTGAAACTGGTTAGCCAGACAGGAGTCCTGGAGGTGGTAAGCACAGTGCCTGCACACTGAAGGAGGGGTGGAAATATTGCAGTTTGGAGGGCCATCTGAATTGTCATGTCAGCACAGTTCTGGCAAGACCATGACTGAATGAGCGATGGTGAAGGTATCTCCTCTTTCAGGTCACCCTACATCGGTAGGAGAGAGTTGACATTACAAAAAAAAAAAAAAAAAAAATTCACATTACGGTAAGGAGGTGCTTTTTAACAATTATGAAGCAGCTAGTAAATGGGGAATCTTATTAGTATGTATGATTTGGTGTGAGGTGGACCTGCCTACTGCAAACCAACAGGCCTATTCCAGTGTTCCTTCTTACTTATACTCTGTAAGTATGTAAGTTAATTTAGGTACAGTTACACAAAAGTACAATTATCATACATAGTAATGTGTGTAAATTACCCACCAGGACAACCTTTAAAAGTCAAAGTGACTAATTTCCACTGGAATCTTTGTAATATTTTATTATTTAAGGTCTAACTGTATGATACAGTAGAAATCAGTCATGATTATAACCTTAAAAAATAGAACTGCAAACTAACTCAACTGTGTGAAAATCAGTTACAGTAAATGGAGGGAAATAGAAATAAAGTGAACTGAGTTATTTACATGAACATTAAATAGAGAGGATCACCTTACAATAATAGGTACATACATGTTACTTACTCAAGAAATCACTTTTTCCCCTTTCTAAAGCTTCATTCATTAGGTACCATTAGTTATCTTCCTAAATTGGCTCACGCAAGGACAGGCTTTGAAATGTTTTTGCAGACTGCTCCACTCCTTTATTGCTGCATAATGAAAGGGGTTTGAGGCCTGACCACCTCCTGTAGGTAATAGAAAATTGTGTTCACTTCCCCTATTACCATACTGGGTTTGGTTCTGAATCTTGACAAACTTGGCAGCAAGATATTCTGGACACTACTTATGATTATTCTTAAAAAAAAAAAAAATTATTTAACTTCAGTTGCTTTACTCTGTCTTCACCATTCAGCATATCTAGTTGTAATTCATCCTGGTCTACATGCTCTCTTAGACCCAGGCCCAGGATAATTCTCACCCTTTTGCTCTGAATGATTTGTAGTCTTCTATTTTTTTGTTAAAGCAGGGTACCATGAAGAATAAGAATAATGTACATGACATTGTTTAAGATACCTGGAGTATACCTGGAGAGGGTTCTGGGGGTCAACGCCCCCATGGTCTGGTCTATGACCAGGCCTCATGGTGGATCAAAGCCTGATCAACTAGGCTGTTACTGTTGGTCGCACACAACCCAATGTACAAACCACAGCCCAGCTGGTCAGGTACTGACTTTAGGTGCGATGTCCAGCTGGGAGGCAGTTGAACAGTCTTGGGCCCCTGACACTTATTGTGTTGTCTCTTATCATGCTAGTGGTGCCCCTGCTTTTCACTGGGGGGATGTTGCATTGTCTGTCAAGTCTTTTGCTTTCATAGGGAGTGATTTTCATGTGTAGGTTTGGTACTAATCCCTCTAGGATTTTCCAAGTGTAGCTAGATATGTATAGGGTCTTACAAGCCTCAGAATGTAGACACTGTGCCTGTCTACAAAGGAGCTTGAGCCTGGCATTCATTTTTTACTATATTGTTCATTAATCCGATATTTCCAGATTAATGTACATTTGTCTGGATGAAACAATGGGGACCGCAATGAATTTAAATCCATTAAAGCAGCTGTAGGGCCAGCCTAGATTAAGTCATCATAACATTTCAATTTTGTACACCTACAATGACTAAGCAAATTCTAATAAATCATGTTGAAATCCAAATTTCTTTTATTAATTACTTCAGTATACTGCATGACTCGCCTAAGAACTGAACTGAAGCCCAGTTGAAGCTTCTCGTTTGAATTTTTTGTCAACATTAGTACAAGAAACATATGACAACCTCTGAAAGTAAGAGATGATATAAGATACCAGCAAGTTTGAAATAAGATACATATCTAGTACAAGGATAGTTTCTGGGAAAAGGTTATGTTCGGAGGACTTTTTTTCACTCCAATCATCGATTTAAAAAGCTTCCCTAGGCGAAACATTCCACAATAAATAAGCTAATACTACACGTCTTATTTCACAAGCCAAAAACAGTGAAAATTTCACAATAGCATGCAAAATAATCTCTGATCTGTAAAATAATTAGCTTTACTTGAAATACCCATAAACAGTTCAGGGTGGAGGCTTTAAACAAGGTAATTTAGTAGGAACAGCCTCCGCCCCTCCCCCTCAAACTTTCTCCACTCTTTTTTTGTCAATTCTGATCTAAAGAATGGAAAACATTCACCCTGAGTCCCCAAAAGACTGAGAGAGAACCTCAAAGAAACCCACCGAGAGGTTATCATGGAAGATTACCCCTAGAAAAAAGTGAAAAGCGATAAAACAGGAGAGTAGCATCCCATACAAGTCTTAGGATGAGTGTGTTGTGATGTTGGGATCAGCTGTCTACATGAATGACATACCACACATTCCATCGCTAATTTCTCTCCACCAGAAATATTCTTCACACTCGCCATCCAACAGACTTATGAATAATAACAGTGTGTGTGATACAAGCAGGGTATTAGACCTGTTGGACTCGTCCAACGTGGGTAAATCAGTAAAACAAGTCGGACTGGTGCTCACCTGTCGTGCTCTTGCTCGCTAGTCCGCCAAGTTTGTGAGCCTAATTCAACCTACAACCTATTGTACACTAAAATAATATATCTAACGATTCCACAGTTTATATTGCTTAAAAATATACATATATTTCTTGGACATTTGGTTAATAGTAAACTATATTTTTTATGCGTTCTGTATTTAGCATTGTTAACTTATATTAGGTTCTCATTTTATCACGTCATTCTGCCAAGGAAGTACTATCATTTTTATTATTATTATAATCAAGGGGGAAGCGCTAAACCGGATTATCACGCTGGGGGGGGATATGTGAAGGCATTCAGGTTAATTCGGGAATGGAGCACAGATCCAATTCCCTAAATCAAGAGCCCCTCACCAACATCAAGGAACCTTCCTTGAGGGGGGAAGTACTATCAGATTTAATTAGCTACAATAAGAATATTTATATAAATAAACATATATATAATTGTTCAGATAAAAACTTAGTTAAATAACACCACTTATTTAGCGCTAATTAACTCAGGTCTTCGGTTTTTATTGGTTCTCAGTTGTGTTGCGTTAAGATCCTGAGTGCCCTACACCGGGCCTCCAGCCTCACCCTCATACATTATGATGCTCACCTTTTGCAAGGGAGGGAACTAAGACAAAATATTTCTTTCTGTAACCTTGTTAAATGTCATATGAATCAGAGTAGCCACACAATAGTGCGTAACTGTTTTCGATAACCAAAAAAATAGACTGGGAAAGTCTTTGAATCTTTCTGCCCTATTTCAGTGACTAATGCAAACGGAGAGTAACTTCAGCTATCTAAACTTTGGGGGCCCAGTCTCGGGACCCATTATGTACCTCTGTAATCTGTAAATGCCTTTGTAACTTGTCATGATTGTGACCAGATCTACCTGGAGTTCATTACCTTTGTAACTTGCTCTGCTATCAAAACTTTGGGGCCCAGTTCCTAAGCCCATTATGTGCCTCTGTAATCTTTTGACTACCACCCACAGGGTATGGGGTGCATAATAAACATTAAACTTGCTGGAATTTAGATATAAATTAATTTACTTTTATTAAATTAAAGCATTTAGGATAAATGTTTTAGTCGTTATCTGGAGCTTATTCTATTGTACATTATATTGTTCGTTCAAAAAAAAAAAAAGGCAAAATTCTTGGCAAGATTAAATACAGATGTAAGGACGTCAAGATTTTTCATCAGGCCATTAGATACCACACTACATGGATGTTGTGGAAAATTGCATTTACTTGGATATATCATTATTTACATAACAGTAAATGAACAAAGATAATTATTATTTATCAGTTAGACAAGTAGGAATTTGGGACACCTAGGTCGCAAAAAATGTCCCCCTTCGATACCTACCACTGTCATATCCACAAGTTGCTCTGGACCTATTAATTATAAATAAAAGATACATCACCAAGAATACTGGTAAATATATAAATTTGTGGACTGTATATTAAAAATAATAAATGATTATAGATACACATATACATAACAGAAAGAGAATATCTTAATCATAACACTCACCAATTTGACTGGAGATTAATGTGTCATGTACAGGAACCCCCCCCCCCATCCTTTTGCCTACATTTATGAAAATTTTACTGGCCAGAATTTAAACATAAATTAGACAGCTTATCTGAGGTTCCTGGAGTTGTCCTGTCGTGTCGCCTGATAACTCAAGTTATGCAGGAATGCACATCCAACAATTTCGCCTCCTATTTGAGAGGTGTCAGCCCAATTTTAACCTCTAGAGCACGAAAATTCCTTCCCATTGCACTAACGTTGTATCCAATTCAAAAACCAAAATGGCGACTGACCATCTTTTAAAAATACACTTTTATTAAATACAATATAGGCATCTATTTACCCATAAATTACCGTATTTCCGGAAAATATACAGTATTTTCCACAGATGTTTTACATTCAACAAATAATAACCTCTTTTGATTTGGATGCCACGTCCAGCAGAACTGGCGTTTTTTAAGCAACTACATTATATTTTCTCCCTTGGATATGAGCCACAGCAGTCGACTAACACCTGGTAAGTATTTACTACTGGGTGAACAGGGTCAACAAGTGTATGGACAGTTTAGTTAGTTTAGTTTAATATGTTTATTATGCACCCCATACCCATCCTGTGGGCGGTAGTCAAAAAGATTACAGAGGTACATAATTGGTCCAGGTACTGGACTCCAAAGTTTTGATAGCTGAGCAAGTTACAGAGGTAATGAATTCACAATTTACAAAGGTAATGAACTCACAATTTACAAAGGTAATGAACTCCAGGTAGGTCTAGTGTATGGACATTGACCAATAATGATATCTTTATTTCTATAAGTACGTGTACAAGGTATAGAGGCTAAGCTGACATCATGACATATTATTACATAGAAAGTCCCTTGTTATGCAGAGCATTTCGGGTAAATTAGGTCAGTTTTTCCCAGGATGCGACCCACACCAGTCGACTAACTCCCAGATACCCATTTTACTGATGGTTGAACGTAGACAACCGGTGTAAAGAAACATGCCAAATGTTTCTACCCTCGCTGGAAATCGAACCCAGACTTCGCTGTGTGAAACAAGAGCTTTGCCCACCAGGCCACGGAGCACTGAAGAATTGCAAGTCCCGTTACAGACCAAAACCAATTTGAATCTTCACAAGCATCCAATAGCTTTGAAAGTTTAAAACCAATCAGAAGAAGCATTCTCAAACTATCGCACAATGTGACTACAGGTAACCCGAGACCAACATACCAAAATACAACAGTACTTTGAAGCCGCTCAGATGAATTCTCAAGTGAGGTTAGTGAGGTTGTCTCGGCTGCACCCTACACATGACCTGGTACTGACTGCTTCCGCCTTCCACTCTTGTTATTCTTCCACCCTATATATGACAGAATTCTTTCAATACGTTTCGTCCAAGGTTGAGCGAAACGTTGTATTTAAAAGATTCTCTGTTACCAGTGTCTTTACTTTCACCAGGAGGAAGGTCAGTCAGTAGAGGAAGGTCAGTCAGTGAAGGTCAGTCAGTGAGGTCATTTAGGAAGGTCAGTCAGTGAGGTCATTCAGAAAGGTCAGTCAGTGAGGGAGGTCAGTCATTCAGGAAGGTCAGTCAGTGAGCAAGGTCAGTCAGTGAGGGAGTAGGAAAACTCTCAGAACCCTTTAAAGGTCTATT